GCCCTGAGACCAGGCCTGAGGGCGACGCTGATGGTTGGACAGAGAGTGCCATGTGACCCCAGGCAGCAAGTGCCACTCACCTGCCAAGCATACAGCACACCACAAGCCCCACAGCCGAGGCACCCAAGCACCAGTCTCTGCGCAAATCCAAACACTGCAATCCTCCGGGGTCAGAGCAGCAGGGGTCTGGGTTGGGCTTTGGGAACAGGAAGGTGTGATGGTATGGAATGGAATGGGGGGCTCTCTGGGGAATCAATTTCCTCCTCGCCCAGGGTGACACTTGACCTACTTATCATCACCCACTTTATGTACAACAGCTTCGAAGGCGCCTGCTGGGTGAGCCCACCGCCAAGGCACCACACAGTACATTTTTGCCCCCTTATTTGGTCAACTTACCCAGGGATTCTTCTCCTCAAAGTTATCTATTGTAAGTGTTGAAAAGCTGAGCCAGGACACTTTTCAAGAGCTATTCTCCACTTCCGGGTCTAACAAACACTGCTTGGTATTGGGGGTAGAGGAGGGGTTTGCAAGAGACCTTTGGAATTGACTTTCTAAGATCATGTACTTGGAGGACTGAATAGTGAGTTGTTCACTCTCATGCCACTAATCCGGTACCTCAATCACTTAGGCCTATTCATCACAGTAGGGTAGCACCACCCCACATTACCTGTGGATAAAGGAGAAATAAAATGTGAAACCTCCCCAAACTACCAAATCCTGTGCTGTTTCTTATTCTGTCTGCCCTCATCTAATCTCCAGCTGTAACAAAGTCCAAGTAGCCTTGAATCCTTAAATCTGCTGCTCTGTAGGGTCTTCCTTAATCAAAATAGTGTACTGAGATTGGACCTGTCCTAGGATGGTAGGCACTTGGTTTGTGGCCATAGCAGCCACTTTTCAGGAACCCAATTTCCTTGACTCTTTTTATGCCTTTATTAAGTTCTAGCCTTTAAAAAGCTACTTTCTTTTCTATCTTTCTCCACCTTCTTTCTAAACATTTGTTTTATGCAGGTTCAGCTGCAGCTATGGAATGCAGCTGGCCAAGAGAACTTTTGCAGCCTAATTCTAGCAACATTCATAATTCAACTATTGCTGTGGTTGTCTATGACATCACAAGTGGGAGTTATGCCATGTTTTACTTGAAAAGGGGATGGAGGGAAGCAATAGAGAGGTTGGTAAGACTAGCAGAGAGGATTAAAAAATACAAGCATTAGAGCATAAGAAGAAAAAAAAAAGACTAGGAGAGAGAAAGACAGGTACGTTATTTTCTCCAAATCTCTACTAAATGTTTCAACTCTCTGCAACACATTGTCCTGTAGACATCAACTTTTTCAAGGAAACAAATAAGTGGGTAGAAGATGTACGGGCAGAGTATATCATCATCATGTTGGTGGGTAACAAGATTGATCTGAATAACAAAAGGAAAGGTATAACTGCAACTGCTTCTGGCATACCTAGAGCTCAATCCCAATGGGAAGGGTCTACTGTGCTCTATTTACTTGGGAGGAGTTACCTGTGTCAGGGATCAGAAAGGTCATGGGTTCAGGGCTTCGAGGGTTCCTGGTCCTAGGGATGCATCTTTACGCCTCAGAAGGATCTATCCCTATCCACTAACTCTGGGTCAGAAGGGGGTCTTACCACTATCTGGTCCCTTGTATCATTTCTCATTTGTCCAGACAAGTCTCTACCAAGGAGGCAGAAGAAAAATCCAGAGACCTCAATGTGATGTTTATTGAGACCAGTGCCAAATTCACCACTGCTTATTCTTTTGGATAACTTTGGCTTGTCCTATCATGGGGTGGGGGTAAGGTTCATCTCCCCATCATGCAGTGCAAAGGCCTGGAATCGTATCTCTAAACCTGACCTTTTCTCTTTCTTTTGCACATACACACACACACACACACACACACACACACACACACACACACACAGGGCTATTCCATAGCATGGCTTCTGCCCTCACTTCCAGAGGTAATTCCTCTCCACTGAAGGAAGACGAGAGTATCCTTTCTCCCAGCTTTGCTGGGGTAGGGAGGGTACAAGCAGAGAAGGCAAACTTCCTTTGCTGAGTTGATGGCCAGGCCAATTTTTCTGCCTGACTGATACTGAAGGGAAAATGGGACTAACTTCAGCCCAAAGCAGCTCCCTGGTTTGCCCTTAGGTGAAAGGGATCATAAGATAAAAATTCCTTTTCTGTATGTCCTAGAAGATGCCCCTGGGAGTTGAGATTTGACCCCAGCCACTTTATTACCTTCCTTCCTTACCACACACTTCAGTGCTGAAAACCAACTGGAACCCTCCAATGAGTCAGGCATCAAAAACCATTGTTCCTGTTGATAGCTTAGGTTATCTCTCTGCCTAATATGATCAACTTACTGCATTTGGGCTTCCCAGTACCAGTCCTTCTCCCTCAACCTCATGTTTACGGTTTAAATACTTGGCCACTTACTAAGCTCTTGTTCAATTCCTAGGCTTAGGAGTAAAACGGAACCCCTGAAGATGCTATCACTTTCTCTTGACCACTTCTCACAGTTACAGGGTGGAAAGTTCTGGCAGAGTCCAGAAATCTCACCTGGCCATCTCTGACTGCTAAAACACATCTATAGGGGATGCAGTTCTACAGCAGCTGGGATACCTCAAAGATTGATACAGTTCCTTCTCCACTGTTTTCTTATCTCACCCTCAATAAATCACTGGTTCTTTCACCTCAGCCTCTTATTGTTTGCACCTTCTCCATGCTCTACCTACACCTCCACAATGCAGTTGCATCATGCTGGTGCCCCAACACAGAACCATTCTAAATACCTCAAAGAACCAATTTAGGGCAGGATTTTTGCCCTTAGGCCCATGGCACCTGGCTGGGTCTTTTTACCCTGTTTACCACACTTCTTCGATGAGTTGTTTTAAAACCTTTTAACCACAGACTGTTGGGAGAGTCTTGGACCTCAACATTCAGTAGACTCAACCAATATGCCTTTGTGCAAGTATCTCAGCCTCTAGTTTCTTACTCAGATGGCCATTGGGGGGCAGCAGAGCAAACAGGAGCATATATTCTATATAGGGGGATTTCCCAGGAAACACAGAGACAGCTAGATTGATTGTACCTCCAGCTCTGCTCACTAGGATGTTGCCACCTGACAATAGCAGTGAGCCTCTAGAAGAGGTGCCATAGTAGAGCTGGGGTGGGATTTATAGGAAGAACCAGAACTTCCTCACAGAGATATGTTACTACTATTTAGAACTGTTTCCCATATTTGAAGACTTATTCCCCTTATTTTAAAATCCATTAAAAACAAAAAAGAAGCATGGAAACCCTGGGTGATTAGTGCTTCGCAGTTAGTAAATTGGTTGGTTTGTGCAAAATTTGGAGAGAAGAGAGTAGAGTGGCAAAGTGGGTTAACTGTGGCAACATGAGTAGAAGTGGCACTGAAAGTGCAGAGGGGCAGCCTCCTAATTGTATTGTGATTTTTTTAATCGAGGTATAGTTGATGTACATAATTGTATTGTGACTTTGAATAAAAAGATCTTTAAGTACAAAATAATAAAAAAAAGAAAAATTCAGACATCCAGGCTCCACCTCAGATCAATAGAATCACTCAGTGGGGGCAAGGGCCTCACAATATACATTGAAGCTTCCCAGGATTCTTTCAAGGCAAATTCGGGACTTTCATTATGGGGTACAACTTCGCCCCATACCTCATTAGACAACTTTCTATTCTGAACGGGTATTGTGAACATGCCAATGGAAATGGCATAAGGCGTGGCCTGGAATCTCTAACAATGGATTGCTAAGAACATGGCAGAAGGTTATTTGGGGGCTGGCGTGAAGACAAGGGCGAAATCAGCAGTCACTACTACTCAACCAACCAGGTGAAAATTGGGAAGCAATTTCTTACTGCTGTCCCTGAAAAGAAAGGCATCCAAGCCTCTCCCTTAGTTTATGTTCCCGATGAAAGAATCTGGGAAAAAAGAAGACAGAACTATATTAATACTGCCCCCTGCAGAGAAATGGCCACAGCTCATGGGGGAAGGGGCACTGTTTCCTCCAGTACCCCCTCACCCTATACCATTCCTCAGTTATACTGTAGATAAGCTTCCTGGGTCTCCCTAATGTTCTGAGAGAGATAATTGTGAAGTACATATAGTGTTGCTCTGCTGCTTCTAGTGGTTCTTCTCTTTGGAAGAGCTTCTATTTTTATCTCGAAGGCATTTTTTTTTTTTTTTTAGGGTTTTTTTTGGTTTTTGCGGTATGTGGGCCTCTCACTGTTGTGGCCTCTCCCGTTGCGGAGCACAGGCTCCGGACGCGCAGGATCAACGGCCATGGCTCACGGGCCCAGCCGCTCCGCGGCACGTGGGATCTTCCTGGACCGGGGCACGAACCCATGTCCTATGCATCGGCAGGCAGACTCTCAACCACTGCGCCACCAGGGAAGCCCATTATCTCGAAGGCATTTAACACGCAATCAGTACCATCCAAATCAGTATCGAGCAACATTTCCTCAGCGTTGTGTTTTACTTTTTTGGAGAGAAAAGATAGGAGGGAGTGGGGGAAAACGGGGTTCCACTGGAGTCTCCAAAGTGTATGACTGGTAGCATAAGGATGGGATGAGATGGCCAGGCAGATTAGGTGGGAGGCCCTCAAGATTTGTAGACGTTAATGAAAATGACACGACATATGTGGAATTGCCTCGCACATGGTATTCAATAAATGTCAGTTGCCTTCTCTAGCAGGGTTCTCCACAGGCTAAGCGATACCTAGACATCATCATCCTTCTCCTTCCAGGGAATGAAGCCCACCTAGAAAACTAGGGAACTCAAAGTGCAGTACAGGTGGGATAATGCAGTTGGCCAGCTGGCTCAGGACAGGGCCTCGTTGTCTCCCCATCCTCCCTACTCCACTCTGCCAGGGTGGGGCTGAGAGTAGAGTTTCCCAAGTGGCTTCCCTGAGGCCTAGCTAGCTCGTCCTAGAAGATTCCATGTGGAGGGCTGTGGGTTGCAACTCTCTAGTGCACAGTCCTCTCTTTCTGGCGGTGATAATCTGGGGGAAAGAAGGAGGAAAAGAGCAGGTTATTTTCCAGCCTGAGCTCCCAACTCCCCATCTCCAACTTGTGGGGCCTCTAATAATTGGTATTTAAAGAGTTCCTACCGAAGGCCCTGCCAGGTAAGCAAAAAAGAGAGCGGCACTCGGAGCGGCTGGGCCCGTGAGCCATGGCCGCTGAGCTTGCGCGTCCGGCAACGGGAGGGGCCACGACAGTGAGGGGCCCACATATGGCAAAAAAAAAAAATGTAAGGACCCAAATTATCCAAGGGAAAGAAGCGGACACGCATGCTGATTTCTCGAGCTGTCTTCAGGATCTCAACAGCCTGGAAGGAACACAGCAGTTTGTACAAATAAAGAGATACAACCCAGGACAAAATCATAACAGAAGGAATGTAGTTTGCCATTCCAACCTTCTGGGTCACTAATAGCTGCTTCCCTCTTACCAAGGAGAAATTCTTTCTTATCAAGTTACACATCAGGCTAATCTTATCCACTGTGTCCTAACTGGGATGGCTTCTTGCCTCACCACAGCCCAGGGTGCTGTGCTCACCTTGCTGTGCTCAATATCTTGGAAATCCACATCATTCACAGCTAGGACTTGGTCCCCTTCCTGAAGTCCTGCTCGATGTGCATCAGAGTCCGGAATCACCTGTTGGTAAGGAGAGAATATACATGATCAAGGTGGGATAATTTCAAAGAATGTAAGTGAATTAAGTGCTATTCAAACGTAAGGTACTATCGGTTGTGTGTGTGTGTGAGACAATGCAGGGAAACGGTGGCTTGCCAGGTGGGAAGTTTTAAGTGGGCAAGCGTATCCCCACTATGCCCCTTCTATGAGTCTACTAAATCATCCCTCTCCCCAAGCCTTAGGACATCAGGGTTCTGCAACCTGATAACTTAACAAAGGGAAGTAGCTATCCATATTGCCTACCAGGCACACGCACCTTGGAGATGAAGATGCCTAGCTGGGAGGCCTTTCCTCCTCGGATGTTAAATCCCAACTGTAAGACAAGAGCACAGAACGGGGGCTCAATACAGACCACAAACACAAGAACATCTTTTAGCATCACTGTATGATAGCTTGCCTTGTGTACCTCAGAGAGAAGTCAGAAGTTGTGGAAGTGGCATCTCAGCTTTTCTGCGCATAAAAGTAAGTTTCTTTACCTCCTTACCTGCTTCCCAATCCGTCCCCCGAACCGTGGCCAACTTCAGGGCCTGGTATGGACAAATCTCGCCTGGAATAAGAGGCAACTGTTCCATAAGCTCACCTGAGCTCCAGGGGGCTTCTTCAGTGTGATGATACGGGGCAGAAACTGGGTCAACTCATTGTTGTAGTCTGGGTGGTATACCCTCTGCAAGACACAGCAACCCCAAAAATATTACTACCAGTCTTACTACCTTCATCTAGGACACAACTGCATCACCCTGAAGCCAGGAGAAGGTGAAGTCATGGACTTAGTTTAAGTAGAACAGATAACACTGTCCAAATAGGTAGACGGATAGCAGTGGGGAAATGCTAGCCACCCAGTAGCTCCCCACTTCTTAACCTCGACAAAATGGAAATCAGGGCTCTGAATTTCCAGAATTCTCTGGTGTAAGTGGACCTCCTGGCAGGAGGATTCCATAAGAAGTTCCCAGTGGGCCCAGTTGCTCAGAATCTAACTTCTGGCTAAGATTCACTCTCCACTGAGCTTTCTAACCCTGCCATCCTACCTTTCATATATCATCCCTTGCCTATGGGGAAAAAAAATCCCTTGTACAGATGGTTCCCACCTCATGAGGAGGAATCCATGCTGGGGGATTCTCATAGGCAGGCAGGAAAACCACCGGGTAGTCATCATAAGGAATCCGGCTGTCCATCTCCAGCAAGGCCCTGAAATGGAAGGGTGAATCAAAGCTGACGAAAATGGTTCAAAAGGGATAGTAGCCCAGCGAGTTTCAGAAAACAACCCCAACGCATTCCAAGGCTGTCAGTCTCTAGGCCCGGCCCACTTCTAGGTAGGTGATAAACATTTTGGGAGAGAAGGAAGAAAACTATCAACTTGGCTGAATATCTGGACTCCAAGCAACCTGTTAGGTACACTGTAGAAATGATCTCCTTTCTCACAACAATCCTGCAAAATAGATGTACCGTCTTCATTCTAGAGAAGAGGAAATCAGGAACGCGTCTAAAAAGATCTGACTACTTTGGAAATTCAAGGGAGTGCTGACTCCAACTATCCACAGGCACTCGGGGCAAGGTACCACCCCACACTCCCTAATTTGATCAGTAATGGTGGGGGTCCCCAGATCGGCCCTTCCTTTACCACCAGCCACTTTCCAGATACCCGTCCCGCATCGTGCCTGAGTCCTGCGCCCACGGCGCTGTAAAAATCGTCGTATCACCTCTCCCGCCGGCAGGCCCCAGGCGCCCCGTACTCCTCTCACCATCAATTCAGCCTGGGACCCGGAAGCGGATGCTCAGCTGAGGAAAAGGGGCGGGGTCAGGGTGCGGCGCGCAGGCCCTCCTCCTCCCCAACGCGTCTTCCTGTGCGCGCCGCGTGCGTGCTCCACGCACAGGCTGTCTGCGCTCCAATTGGCTGGCGCCTCCGAGAGCGGTTTGAAACTTGGCGGTTAAAGCTGCGGTTGGGACAGGGCGGCGGGAGACCGGGGAAGGGACGTTTAGTTTGGTGAGTTAAGGGGGCACACCTTAGCTCAGGATCTGCCTGTCCTGGTACCCTGGGGCTTTGGTTCTTTGTTGTCGTCTCCGCTGGGCTTCTCCTTTTCATTTCAGACGCCACTTCGCTCTCTTCAGAGGGTCGGCTGACTGGCAGTCCTGTCGTGGCAAAGTCTGAGGGACAGTGACTTTGCCAAGACAGCGATCCCGCTGGGAGCGGGAGGCTGCCACCGTAAGCTACCGCAGACTTCCCTAACCCACCACACCCTCCGAGGAAGGCCGGAACTGAGGAAGAACGCCTTCCCACCCCTGCCGACCTACCAAACTTAATCAGCGATCATCTTTCCCCACCCCACCCCGCCGCAGAGACGGTGCCGAGGTAGG